AAGGATTAAGCATTTCCATAGCCTCAACCTAGAGCACAGCATGTTGTTTGGGAAAGCAGCAAATATAGCCATTGAAGTTGGGACGAGGCAAACAATTCATTTGTCCAGGGCCACACAGGCTCTATATCTATGCAGTCTCCAAGACCTGGTCAGGAGGTGCAATAATATTCATTTCTCCCCTGAATCCCCACATTGCAATCACCAATAGTTGGCCTGTCCTGGCTCCAGGGAAGTGGAATACCTCTTGTCCATGTCAGTCACATCTAACCCCTATACATCCTCACTCCATCTGGTCTGCAGAAACATCTCTAGAGCATGATTCTCGCTGTGGACAGCAAAAGCCAGCTAAATATTAGATGCTTCCAGCATCAATTTAGAGAGTTTTTTAGGCTGTGTAAGGGCAACCTGATCTCCAGACACCTCTAAATCCCAGATCCCTGAAGCATGGGACTTTGAGAGCCTAACTGGAAAGCTCTCGGGTCACCTTCCCGCTCCAGCACAGGTTGCATAACATCATTACAAGGTTTAGAGGAGACAGAAGGGCAGCCAGCCAGGCACTGGACACTCAGCTCACCTGTTCTGCAGAGATGGTGGCTTTTCTGCTCTTACCTGCTCACTCTGCCTCTTCAACATGGCCAGCACTGCACCTATGCTCAACCACAGTACTGACTCACATTAGCATGCTGTGGGACATGATTGTATGTGAGGCCCACGCATTAGCCTACCAGAAACATACCCCTCTTTTTCTATTCTACCTGTGAAGCCCGTCTGTCTGCCCCAAAAGCCTCCTTGGATCCCCTGGTCTTTCCACAACTCAGCCCACTCACATGGAGGATAGACTCCCATTGGCTGCAGTAACGTTGGCCAAGAAAAACAAGGCAGCAAGCTGCATATAGGCAGCATCACATGCAAGGCTGATGCTAACAGTACCCCACGCACCTGCTGGGAGCTGGACTGACATCTTCTGAAGGGCTAGGGGGGTCTTTGTCCATTGAGGTGGAGGACAGCAAGCTCCGATGTCTTCGCCGGCGCTCCCTTTGCTGCTCTTCTTCATCCTCAAGAGTTCTCTGCCTGGCCAGGCTGTTTGGGATAAAATATGACATCATGGTGAGGTTCAGTGTCCTGGACATGAAGCTTGCAGTCCTGATGCCAGGCAATCGCAGAGAAAGGAGACTGTTGTATCCTGAGCAGCAGCACACCATAAGGCAAGGGACAAGGCATTGAGGGAGGTTGCCCTGCTCCAGTAGAGTTGTGGTGCTGCATGGGGCTGAAGAAGAGGGGCAGATCACCATGTCAGTGCAAGCCAGGTTTCACAAAGCTTCCTCACTCCACCGAGCTGAGGTAGGCATTTCCCAACACAAGCACTTGTCCTTGCAACTCCTAACTTCTTCTGTTAGAGGGAGCATTCATTTAAAAGGAACCCTTACATTAAGTAAGCCCTTCTGTGGAAGAATATTTATCCTGTAATTCAGCAAGGCTGGGACCGTGGAGCCATTGCATGGATCTCAGTCACATGAACTGGAGAGGTAACTGCTAGTGGCAGAAGATTTTAACTCCCTGCAGATCTCAGGGATGGTGTTTTTGCAGCCAGGAGGGGCAGTTACCCAGTGCCTGGCTCCACAAGAGGTGCTTGGAGCAAGGCACGACTGGGCACAGACCCTTCCTCAGCACTTGTCATCCCTTCTCTTCCCAGCACTGGATTCCCACCATCCACCCCTCCGGCCATCCCACATGGAGGTGGCAGCTGGAAGCAGAAATATTTCTGGGTGCAGCAGCACAAATACTGGGGTTTCTTACTGGAAGAGCCAGGTAGTAATTGTTACTGTGGAAAAATCCTTAGATGCAAAAGCATCAGAGGCCAAGAGGGTGAGTGCTGCCAATGAGCTCTGCCTAGGAACAGGGACAGCAGAGTTCTCCTTACTCTCCCCATGTGGCTTCCCAGCCAAAAGGATGCTTTTGATTGACAGATTATATAATCATAAATCGTACCAAAAAGACAGAGTTGGTCATCTTTTTTAAAGAACCATCTTTAAAGACTTTGTTTTGCACAAGGCAAACTAACTTTTTTAGGATAAAAAGTCAAACTAAATAAAAAGTTATTTGGAAAGCACCAGCTTTCCCTTCCTTTCTCCAGGCAAAACACCCACACTTTCTGCCGGTGCATGAACTATGTTGGGCAATATTTTTACTGAGTGGACTGAGCTTTTCACAGCAGATGCTACTCATTTATCTGTGACACTACTCCTGAGTGAGCTGCAAAGAAATGCAAGGATCCCAGCATAGCTCCCAGCACCCTGAACAGCCCAAATGGTCAGAGTCCTCCTCTGAACTCTTGGACTGCAGGCTCTTCCTGGACAGCATCTGACCCATCATGGTGTCTTAGGTCTGGAGCTGGCACTCTAGTTTCATGCAAACTCAAGATTTACTTTGAATTTGACTTTTAAGAATATGAAAGTCAGAGCAGGCCCGGGCCTGCGGTATCATTAATGTCACTGCAGATACAGTGACTCACAGCATGGTAACAAGTTACTGTGTAATGAAATCTTGGTCATAAATTAAACCACATTACCTCCTGCAACAGTTCATGGCTTCTGTTCTTCCTGGTCTATGGAGGTGGGGGAGAGCAAAAGGGTAAGGAAAGCAGAACAGAAAGCAAAGAGGGAAAGTTGCACGTCCCCAGCTGAAAGTTCAGCACCTATCTGCCCCTCCCCTCCTGCTGCTTCCCAGGGAGCCTCTGTCCCATTTGCTGCCATTAACCCCAGCAGCCCTTGCTTCCTGACAGCGACTGGACCCCCTGCCATCAGCTGTGAGAGGGACTCCAGGGTGATCCTCAATGCCCGGTCTGGCATCAAGGACACCATGATGCATAAGGCTGGATTGAGGACATGCCCCAGAGCCCAGGGGAGTCAATGGGCTTTGTCAGCACTCCAAGCCTTCTCTCACCCTGCCAGGAGACACCTCCACATTCAGCTCCTTGCAGCTTTATTGACAGCCACTTCGTCTGTGGGCCTTGGCGTGTAAATATTCATATATGGCTTAGCTGCATTTGAAAAGCAGCATGGCTTTACTTGCATGGCACACTGTGATGTTCTGGCAAGACACACTGCAGCAATCATGCCGCATACAAATTCCCACCGGTCCAGATTAGCATATGCATGTAGATCTACACATACAGGTGCCTCCACTAAGTGCTATTGGCCTGTCTCATACAATGACAGTACGGCGCATTGACACGGGTTTATGTGAGAGCCAGCTACTTTTTTGTTTTGCATGAATAAACTTCTTCCAAAATGAGAATGAGTTTTTCCTGCTTTGAATTCATTTGGCTCCTTCAGGGGCAGCATGTAACCTGGCATTATCAGCATGCAGTTTCTCATTATTGATAATTAGGTAATCCACACATCAGGCTTTGTATTTGTTTTGCCAATGTTTCCCTCCTCTTTTCCAAGAGGGATTTATTTTTCACTGTCTTATCTTTTTTAACTTCAAAGAGATGAATAAAAAAAAGATTTGTAAGTCTCCCCCTACTTTGTCTTCTCCTGCCCTGTTAATTATTAGTGCTCAGATGTTTGACATTTATGCTATTTTAGTTAATGTTGTCCCATCTAATGAGAGAACAGAAAACTGCCTTCCTGGGTTGTAAAACAACCTGAGTGCTGGACCCTGCTCAACCTGCATTCAGGCAAGTCCAGGATTAGAGTGCGGCTCGGACATCGTGGATCTGAACGACTTTTGGATGCTCTTTGGATTTCTCCCAGCCAGTCTTGACAAAGGCAAAGGTATGAACTCACAGAGGCAGCCTCTGTGCCGTGAGGTCTTACTTAATTCCCATTTCCTAGCTGACTGTGGTGGGTGGTTTACTAGCATGGCAGCAACTGAGATGAGCAATAAATAAGCTGAAACTACAGCAGTTTTGGGGGTCCTTAGGGCCATCCTGTCTCGCAGCCAGGCCAGGACACTCAGTCTCTAAGCCACTGGGTCCACTCAAAGTATGACGTTGGTTTTGTTTTGTGTAAGAACATGGCTGCTTTTGAATCACTATTCCCTGCATGCGCAGACAGGAATCAAGGTCAAAGTTACCTTCCCCGGGTCTGCGACACGTTGGGAATGAACTCCAGATCATGGAGGCTTCCTGGTAGCCACTAACACTTCTGAAGCAGTCAGCAATGCCCAGGAACCTCATGTGCCCTGACTCTGACCTGAGCTTTGTCACCCCCCCAAAAAAATCTCTTCTTACAAAAGGCCAAGTGGAGTGCTCAATGCCAAGAGGTTACAGGGATGGTTCAGTTATTGCAGATGAATCAGGGCTTACTCAGCATCAGATGGACAGAGGCTGCAACCTTCCCACACAGGTGTGCAGCAGCCCCGGCGAGCCATACACCCACAGCGCTGAGGGCTGTATGGACACAGAGCAAGCACAAAACCCCATAGCCAGCTCCAGAGCAAGCCTGGGGGCACAACCCAGGCAGAGAGAGCCTGGCTTGCCTCTCTTACCCCAGAGAGGGGGCACCAGCCCCCATAGACCAGAAACATATCCAGCACAGGGGGCAAGGACATGTTTCCACAGTGGTTTTCCTATGTAGACATGAGCATTCAGCTTCCCTTAATCAAACAAGATGCCTCTGATCTTGCCCACGCACAAGAAACTCCAGCATCCAGCAGCGATGAGCACTCAGTGGGGCTGGCACCACCTCCGCCTTTGCAAGCAACCCCTTCCTCCCGCCCTTGGACACCACAGTTGCCCCTTGTTCCCATCCTCCCCAACACCTCTCACCTCCCTCGCCGAGGCTCGCTGTGCCTGGAGCCCACCTCTGGTCAGTAGAAAGGGTTAAGCATTAAACTGCAGCACCTACCTGGAGAGATCAGACCAGTTCTTTCTGTTAAAAGACATTCCTCCGTTCGGTGAGTTTCAGAGAGCTCCAAAAACTTGTGCAGGCATCAAGGCCAACTCACTCACAAATCCACGGAGATCCGCACTGCCCGGAGACTCTGCACCCCAAGGAAGCAAGAACTCCCTACAAGGTTATTTCCCTGTGCACCTTTACCCTGCCTGCAACCCATTTACCACCAGGCTGCATCACATGGTCTCTTATCTACCTTGACAGAGGCAAGGCTGTAATTTGTCTACTAGCAGCGCCGGGCAAAAGATGCCCTACCCAGGAGTGCCACGCAAAAGCAAATCACTCTTTGCTGCCTGGTGAGCCAGGATTTGAATGGAGACCCAGGCTCAGGGTTTGATCCATCCAGGTCTCCCAGGGTTTCAGAGACAACTCCCTGCTGAGAACCTGTTTTACCAGCCACTCTCCGCCTGTCAACAACTCCTCCAACGTTGATCTGTGGAGGAGGTGAATTACCCTGAGCTGAGTGGGAGGAGGCAGCAAGCTGATCCAGCACTGGCTCCCAGGGATCCAAAACAGTCATTAAAACACCTCCATCTGGGCACAATCCAGCCATTTCCAAAGAACATGGGAGAACATTCTCTGCACGTCTGAGTTTTAACAGTCATGGCCTCCCCTTAGTTACAACTTTTGCTGTAATGAAAAGCACACATAAATTTCAGAGGAAGTGACTAAAGGCCTCCCCTGAAAGGACCTGGGTCCTGAGGTGCCAGGTCTGGGAGGGGGTTGGATTTTTGGGTGCTGAAACTCTGTGCTGGATGGGGACTATATGCCTTAGCTCATCTGTGCCTGGCCCAGTCCCTCACCCCCTATCCTCTCCCCAGGCTAGGTACTGAGGTACTCTATCTTCCCGCACTCACACCAGGCAGTGCTCTCCTTTCAAAGGGCCCACATAAAAAGCAGTGGGGGGACTGGCCCATGAGGGTGATGGAGGTATCCCAGATGCACAGCTGGGTTTGAGCCTATTCTTTGCCTGGGTGGCTGCAGCTCCTCTCGGATGAGTCCAACATGCTCAGATATGTTGGAGAAGCAGAGGTTTAGACCACTCCCAGGCCTCCTGCAAACCCCAGATCCCTTTTGCATGGCTACTGAAGAGACAGGGGTTGGCCCTGATGTGCAACATATCTGGGACCCCGAGGCTACCACATGCACTGGATGGGGCCTGGGCCAGCCAGGCAATTTTCACAGTAGAGGCCTGCAAAAGAAGACATCTGGGACTGCTTAAGTATGAATTCAGTCCCTGGTTCCTTTGCAATCCGTCCAGCCTTCCATCTTTTTCCTTTTTCCCATTTGCACATTAGACCTTTTCCTCTCCCCAGCTGGCGTCCATGCAGGGTGCTCAGAGTACAATCAAGGGTGACACTGGAACACTAGCAATTGTCCTGGTGCAATCCCAGGGCCCTTTTACCGGCCATAGCTGGTGAGAGGGGCTGCATGGTCTTGCAGGACCAGCCTCAGGCTGTCTGCTCCTCCACCTGTACCTGCTGGGCTCTCCCGCTGCCACCACTGTCTCCCCAGGTCTCATTCTCTGCTCCACTAGACCTGCGGGACTGGCTATATTACCATGTTTGCCACACATGCTGTAGGCCTCCAGCTCACAGGTGAGTGCCCAGGACCTTAACAATCGAATGAACTATTTTAATCAAAGGTTCCTGACTGAAATCCCCTTTCTTAAAGATAGCCCTGTCAAATGAGCCATCTGCTCTAAGCAAGACTCTTTCTCTGGTTTTCTTCCTTTTTGCGGTCATCAACTGTCTTTCAAACGATTTCATACACAGAAAATCCAACAAGCTATGATATAAGAAAAACAAATTTACTTAAATAACCTTGTAAGTGGTTATATAGCATATATAGCAGTCCAGCATCAGCAAGGAACTGTAAAGCAATAAACCTTTCTGATCAATGCACAGGTGAGCACTTCACTTGCAAAACTCATTGCCAAAGGCTATCACTGAAGCAAAAGACTTAACAGGATTTTAAAAAACAGAATTGATGTAGTAAAAGAACACCCCAGCTGGGATCTATGTGGCAAAGGAATATAAAACCTCACACTTGCTGATTCTTCTTCTTATTAAGAAGAATTTCTAGAAAGTCATTTAACAGCTTGGGATTAGGAAGAGGACAAGCATCTGTGATACTCACCGCTCACACTCCTCAAGCGCTTCTTTTCAGCTCAGAGGCCTTTTGAGTTGAACATGCTTTCCTATATATTTAAAAACCCTCAATGGGTTTCTCTTTCACTAATTTGCATGGCTTCCTTCAAACCCAGGAAAACTGTTGGTCTAAAGCAATATCCTTGTTGTTTTATCCAAGAAGTTCCCCAAGTCTGTTTCTCTGCAGGAAAAGTTCCCACCTGTTCTTTGGCTTGGATTGGCTCCTACTGATCTTTTTGATAATTTTTGTGCTGAAGAGTGCAAAGCATTGATCTGCAATCACTTTCTCCAGAACACCCCTGGTTTTAGAGACCTCTTCACCCCACCCAACCTCTTTTCCAGGCTGAAGAGCCATGTGTGACACAGTCATCTCATATAAAGCCAATTACATACCTCTAATCACCTTTGCTGATCTCTCCGGACTTTTTCCAGTTTGGCTATATTCTTTTTTGAGAGGAGACCAGAAAGCATAGAATATGCAAGGTGTGAGTGAGAGCTGGATTCTTTTTCTGATTGTTCTTCCTTTCCTAATAGTTCCTAACATTTGATTAAGTTTTGGGATTTTTTTATTTTTTCTGTTTTTGTTGCCACAGAGTGGTTAGCTCATGTTTTCCTTGGAACAATTGACCATAATCCCATGGTACCTCTTCCTAGTAGGCAATGGCCAACCTGGAGCCCAGCATTTTATATGTGAAGCCATGATGGCTTTTCCTCCATGTGTATCACTTTATACTCCACTGAAGTTCATCTGCCATTTTGTCACCCAAATCCCAAGTCCTGCAAGATCCTTCTTAATGTCTGCACTGTCAGCCTTTATCTTTGTACACTGACTAAACCAGGATTATCAGCAGACTTTGTTAGCTCACTATCACCCCTTTCCCAGGTCATTCAGGGAGAGTAGAGGTACAGCAGAGACCCTGGTGAAACTCCACTGGTTACCATGCAAGACTGATCATTTACTCCTTCCTTTGTTTCCTATTTGTTAACTGATTATTTATCTATCCTTGGACTTTCCCTCTTATCTATGGCTGCTGAAAGGCTTTTTATTAAAAAAAGCATTCTGGAAATCCAGGAAGACTCTATCTACCAGGTCATCCTTATCTACGTGCTTGTTGTTCCCTTCAGAGAACTCCAACAGCTTTGTAAGACTGGACTTCCCTTTACAAAAGCCCTGCCTGCAGTTCCTGAGCTCATCACCAAAGGGACATTCACCAGCACAGACCATAATGAAGCTCCAGAGAGATGGAGGTCATGGAATTAGGCAGGGACATGGGTCCCACAGAGAAGGGATGCCAGCTCAGGGAAACCAGTCTAACATTTATCTAGATCTGATCTAAACACCAGGCTGCCAAATCTGCTGTCCTAGATCTATAACAAGGAGAAGAAAGTTATCTGATCCTTGGCTGAGGGAGTTGTGCTGCAGCTACCTGTTGCGTATAAAAAAGGTTGTAATGTAATACTGCACTTCTCTTCTGGTACCTATTTGCCCAGGGGTAGCTTTCCTGCTGGTTTACAGGAGGGCTTTGCAAGCAGACCTGCATCTGCCTGAGGAGCTCAGGGAGGCTAGAACTTCATCTTATGCAGATCAGCAAATTCCTGCTAGAGAGAGACACCCATTCATACCCACTAAGGAGCTACACCAGTATCTGCTGGGTTTTTTTCCCTTGGGAACAGTGTCCTGCGTCTCATCCTTATGCAGAGCCTGTTTCTTTGGCTACAGGGCAGCGGAGAGCTTCCAGTTTCCATAACTGCACTGTAATTAGGGCATTTCTCAACTTTGCACAAGGCCCCAGGGGTGAATCTTACACTTCCACTCTCTGCCCTTGCTTTACCCTGGTGTTGGGCCCAGTTCTTCTCTTCCTTTAGCTCCGCAGGCTCATCCTTGTGTTGCTGCCAGTGATGGACTGGAGGAGTCAGCGCTATCTGCACTTCCCCAGGAGACAAGGACATGAGACTCAATATCAAGCAAAGGAGGCATTTTGCCATTGCTCAGACAGCTGCAATCCTGTCACTGCTGCAGTGCAATGGCTCACATGGGTCTAGGAGCTTAAAAAAGCATCCCTCTGCCATGCACATGAAGGTCTCCCTGCTTCCCCAAAGCGGCAGTTTGTGGGTGCTGAGATGGTCCAAGCCTGTAATTTCCAGGCTAAAATTCCTTCAGCTTTTGGACAGACGTGTGAGATGCACTGGAAACTGATAATACAGAGATACACCCCACTGTGCAAAGAAAGCCAGACGGGAAAGTGTGCATGATTAGTGTGTGTTTGCTTCAGAAACCAAACTAAACTATAAACTAAGGTTTTCTATAGGAAGGGAATAATCATCATCCAAATTGCCTTGCACCTAACTAGCAAGGGTTTTTCTTTCTTCCTTTGATAATGTAATTCAAAGGGTTAAAAAAAAAATTTAATATTTTAGACAAACCCTAGAATACCTTGTTTCAAAAATACCACCATGGCGCCACATGGATGCCAGTGTCCTTCAGATTCCCCTTTTCCTCTGCAGATTGGACGAGATGCCGTCTCCTGTGATGCCCTAAGGTCTTATTTTATAATAGAGACGCATGGACAACACCGAAAAATGGTTTCAGTGGAAATTTTTCAGGTCACCTGTTACATGGCTAGACTAAGCGTAACCTATACTGCCAGTTACAAAGTAGTTGTATGGCAGATCACGTCCCTCATAGCACATGAATTTAGTTGTCTACCTGCATAGAGCAGGTCCTGGGGGGCTTCAGGGACCCAAGCCTGGAGGGATGCAAGTGAAGATATGAGCAGGCTAATGGAGGGGAAAAGGGGTTAAGGAACCTATTTCACCCTGCTTTATATGACAGGGGAAGGAAAGGGCTCACAGAGCTGGCATGATTCCCAGGACGACCAGATTTTTATGACAGTGTGGATCTGGCGCAGCTGAGACAGCAGCCAGTTGGGTTTCTTCCCATGCAGCTCCATGTGCTGTGCTGCTTGACAGAATGCCGCAAGGTTTAATCACCTCCCAGCTCTGCACGGACATCGTGGAGGCCACAGGGGGCCATGAAGAGGTAATGTTTAACTTTCCTGTCTGAGGAGCGTAGCCTGATATTAACGCCAGCAAAGACAAGCTGAGTGTGGTCTTCAGAGGCAATGAGATGAATTTTACCCCTTCCTTCCCTGGTGTTACTGGAGCTAACCCTCCTCCCACGGCCAGCAACCCAGCGAGCTCCAGCCACCAGCTGAGCTGCAAATACTCTCAGACTAATATTTAGACATGGTTCAAATGTCTCTAGGCACTGACTGATTAGCAAGGAGGTCACGGAGCATCCTAGAAAAGGAATAGACCATTTTACAAACAACGAGGAAGGATATTTTTGAAAGGCTGTCAGGCCAAGCCCTTTGCCATCTCCCTCATTGCTAACACACAGCTGCAGTTTTGACAGCAAAACCTTTTCAGGAGAAAATCATTTTGTTGATTAAACTGATTTTTTTCTACTGTCACCTTTAAATAATTTCTGCAAATTCAAGCTTGCAGTGCTTTGGTCTGCTTTGGGGGTTCCTCATAGTCAAAAGTTACAATGGGCCTGCTCACAGGGCTTGTTGAACAAACCCACAAAACAGGCTTAGAGATTAGGCTCAGGGCTATATAGAAAAACTGAAGCATCGACTACCAAGCTGAGGAAGCCAGAATCCAAGTAAGAGCTACACTTGTCACTGAACTTGAGGAAAGTAAAGAGGAAGAGAGCTGTTGGGTAAAAAGTTGCATGGAGCAACCTGGAGGATGACTTAATAAACTTCTTTTTGAAATAAATACAATCTCATTAGAGACTGCTTCAGCATCATCTTTTCTTTCTAGGGAGAGGATCTTGCAAATCTCATTTTAACTGAATTTAAGTAAAAAAGGGCTACAATAAGGTTCTCTTCTAGTTCAGAGAAAAGAAATTGAGAGCTGGCACTGACATCTGGGAGGGAACCAAAAGTGGGATTGCTTGCAGAAATCAAAGCTGGCCAGGTGCAATTAAAGCAAAGTGCACCCTGGGATGAAAAGCATGATAGCTCAACTTGCTCCTTTTACCAATGGGGAAAGCTGGGCTCCCAGCTGGCCTCAAGCCCCAAAAACAGCTCCAGAGCAGAGTAGGAGGAGGTGTCTTGGCTCCAAGCCCCTACGCCAACCAGAAGTGCACAGCACTCAAAGTGGACTGCTGCAGGTTCCCCTGGAGATTTCATCTCTGTAAAGAACTGGGCTTTTTCTGTGTTTCTAATAAAGCTGAAATCCATCAGACTGTATGTTCCTGTGACTGATCAGTGTGCTTTTGCACCAGCCAATGATAAAAGCAAGACACAGTGAGTGGGGGGCACCATATTCCAGCTGACATATTTGGAAAAATACATGAACTTATGGAGCAAAGATTTTTTTTTTCCCCCTTAATCTAAAACACAAGGCAGCTGCATAAAGTCAGCTGTACCCTTAGATAAGTGTGTGTGGGCTCTGGGGGCCTTGCTGAGTGTATTCTTGCTGCCTCTCTCAGAGTGGCTGCAGAGACATGCTGACGAGGCCTGTGGATTTTGCTCTGTGGCAGTTTTGGGTGTTTTGGTGCACAGTGGTCTGCAGGATCCAGAATCTGAGGATGAACCAGGCACAGGAACAGGCTGGGTGAGGGGTGTAACAGGGACCTTGCCCACAGCAGCCATCAGCTGTATTGCCTTTCATCTCACTGCCATCCCTCCCTGCTCTGCAAATGCCAGCCACTCCTTTCTTTCAAATTGCCAAATTGACATAATTATACTAAGCTCAGAGCAATTGTTCTCGATCCGTACTTGCCTTGCCATTTTCTGCTTGTTTCTGATCTGAAGAAGGCTTTGTTTCCATGAAACCTCTCTGCATTTTCCAGCTATACCAGTTGGTCAAGTAAAAGATATTACCTCTCCCTCCACACCTTTCTTCCTGCGCCAGAATCGCTGCAGAGTGTGTGAGTTCCCTCTGGGGATAGCGTGTGCAGTGAGATCTCAGGACATTGTTTTGGCATGGATCCCACTGGAACAGCAAGCTTGGAGGGGTGAAATCATAGCCTCAAGCCATGGGGCAGGTCAGTCCATGGTGGCAGCTCTCTCGCCTTGACCCTCCAACTGTGGTTTTTAAGATCCCGACTACAGCTTCTTGCCCCATGGAGCGCTCTGCAGCCTGTGCATTTCCAAAGCAGCCATTTGATGCGGGGTCATAATCGCTGATCGCCTCTGGGAGTAGAATCACTTGGGAGGTCGGCCTGCACCTTGCTTATAAGGGCTGCACCAGCTGAATATGTATCCTGAGATGTCTAGGGTAAGGAGAAGTGGTTGCACGCTGCCTACAGCAAGGGCAGCATGTCCTGACATTGTATAGGCTGTGGCTGCTCTGTAGAATTAAGCTTGGGAAGGAAAAAAACATTTTGAGAAGAAGCCCGTGTGCCCCATGCAATTGCTCTGGTCATACAGGAGGTGATCCTGCCCCCAAACTAGCAGGATGCTTATGGGGGTGGAGGGAGGGGAGTTCAGGTCAAGTGGAAATCGGGAGGCTGAGCCTCTGCATTTACTGAGGGAGGAGAGTGAATGTGGATTTTCCGGCTAACCACCACCTCCAATTCAACCCTACAGGTAGATTTGGGGATGGTTCTTTTATCAGGTCTCGAATTTTCTGTCAAGGAGCTGCTAGGTGTTGCAGTACCCAGAGTGCTACGAACCATGCTAGAAATAAAAGTGTTTTCATCGGTTGCCACTTGCTCTAACTCCAGCAGAGCCCCGAGCTGGCTCTTTGCCCAGGCACAGAAATGAGTGGTTCAGTTCAGTATCACTGAATTGAGCAAAGCAGCAGGGTGTGTGACACCCAAAGCAATACAGCTGTCCTTCTGGTTTGGAGTACAAATCCAAAACCACGTATCTGGCTTGCCTCTCCCTCAGTTGCGCTGCCTGGCCGCCATGCTAACCTGAGTCTGCTGCAGGAAGTCCCACAAGGGCCACCTGAGCGGTGACACATTTCTCTGTCATGGGGAAATGCAGTGCTTTCCCTAGAAGGTTGAGATATATTGGAGATCACGCACCTTTTGATGCTGGTTTTTTTCCTGTCCTGGTGCCCGTTCAGAGACCTGCACTTTGCTCTGAGTTCATAGTGCCCTGCATATTTTACAAGCTGCACTAAACAGGAGCGGGGGGGGGCTGCAAAACACCTAGGGTGTGGCCCAGGTTTGAAACCATACATGCTGCTACTGCTCTGAAGACCTTGGGGACACAGATAAGGCACTGCTGCAACACATCAAGAGGCCCCCGTGAGGGCTGAGCCTGTTCCCACTCAGCATCTCTCACGGTACAACCAGGGAGAAGCCCCTATTCAGCCCAAATTCACACCAGTTCTCCCCTCGCCTCCCTCCATCCCTGCTCCTGGGATGTAACAGTGCATTCCCAGCCTGCTTCCACACAACCAGCTGCAATTTTGTAGGTTTGTGATTAGGAACTCATAGGCTGAACGTGGATTCAGCTCATGCTCTTCTGAAATAGCTTGGATAGGCTCAGTCTTGAAACCAGGCTGCCCCTCTTCCCACAGTACTGGTGCCTGAGACAGGGCAGCTGGCAGGAGAGTCAGTGCAGCAGTGCACAGGGAGGGACTGTGTGGGTGAGCAAGCTCTCAAGGCATTTCCAAAAACAGAGAAGAAAGCAGGGTGGGGGGAGCCTGCAGACAGCTGTCTCCACACTAAGGATGCCCAAACCACACTGACTTTGCTTGGGAGGTTGGTGCATTTTCAGAGCCCTGCGAGGGCTGCGGTGTGTGGGAAGGGAGAGGGTGACCAGGCACTGGGCCAGAGGGTCTCAATGAAGTTGATGGGGCACCCGGAACAGGGAGGCTGTAGCCCTGCTGGGACCCATAGGCTGGAAAAGAAGGGCCCGGTGCAAGTCAGATGCCAGGGAGCACTGCTGGTCTGAGCACCAGCATGGGGACATCACGGGATGAAAGGAAAGGACTCGGTTATCTTCCCCACCAGGGCTATGGACCAGCACTGCATGCTCCCAGCCCTGGCCAAAGCTCCCGCATTGCTTCAGTGAAGAGCACACACCACATTCTGCCCAGGAGACCGTCCTTTAATACACGTACAACTGCGTGGGAGTATCTCAGGCTGCACACGACAGAGGATGGGGGAGCGGGAAGACCAGTAGCCATCTCACAGGCCTCTCTGCAGCAGAGGGAGGAGAGGGATGGCTAGAGGCCTCTTAGAGCTGTGTGCCCAGCACAGACACATGAGAGCTGCCCATGAGAAGATGTATCCCGTATTGTGCCAGCTGGCAGAGTAGTAATGGCAGCCCCTTGGCCATGCTGGTGACACCTGTGGCACCTGAGAGTCATTATGCAGGGGCCACCCTGGAGCAGGGTCGATTGCACGAGTAAGGTAAGGCCTGCACACAGCTGCAGGCCAAGGTTGACGGAAAGGAAGAGGCTCAGATCTCCTTCCCAAGTAGTTGTCCACACGCTTCAGCTCAGTGGTGAATTCAGGGTATGTGCATAAAGAGCAAGGAGGGGCAGCAAGGACAAGGGAGGCAGACAGCAGGATTGGGGAGGCTCTTCTTCCTGGCCTGACGCTCCTGCAGGAAAGAAACAGAGCAGAGTAATGGGGCAAAAGAAGAGTTTGTCTTGAAGCAGCCATGCTGCAGGCCCAAAGCTGATGCCAGCAATGGGTGTGCTGTGCAGGATAACTGTAGTGTGGCTGCACAGACCCCAGAAAGCCAGGGAGATAAGCTGAGCAAGGGGATAGCTGTGGACAGGGGCTCCATGTTGGAGACATGTGGGCCTGGGGCCCTGTCCCATGTGCTGGGAGAGAGACAGGCCAGGAAGCCAGATGTGAAAAGCCCAAGGAAAGGAGTGGATGCCTTTTCTGCATTCACCCAGCTACAAGCACTGCTCAGGGATGTTACAAGGAGCGCGGGGCATGGCAGGGGAAGGCAGACTAGTTGCCATACCTCTCACTGGCCTGTGGGGGACTTGGCAGCATCGAACATCTTCTTTCGGCCCTCCATACCGGACATGGCTTCCACGTTCTTGCGCCAGTCACCCACTTCCACAGGGCGCTCCTGCAGGGTGAGACGGGGCCGGGGGCTGCAATGGCTCTGTGATGGACCACCTGGCAGCCCTATGCTTTCCCACTCACATGCCCCAGCGTGAAGGCAGCACAGGGAAGGCATGCACGTGGAAATTATTTCAGACTGCATACTGAGGCAAATGCAAGCAAATACACTTTCTGCAGAGAGGTCTCAGCCACATAAACCCCATCTCCACCTTCTCTCAGCTCTTGAAGAGAACTGGGATTGCAACGAGACCTGGGAGGCCACTTCTAGAACAGAAAGGGTAGGCGACAGTGGCTCTGAGAGTATGTCCAGGTGTCTGCTTTGCCATCCCACAAGTGTTCACATATTACAAGCCATGCCCCCAAATTATCTCATGAGATCTAAAATAAACTCAGATCTATTCAATACCTGGCACTGAGGCTTGTAAACACAATTTTTTTCAATTCAATGGATTAAAAAACATGCCCTATTAGCAAGAGTGAAAAACAAAATTGAAAAATGACATCCAATCTACTGTCATCCAATCTACTGAGCTGGAACCTGGGGTTAAAACATGGTGCACAGTGAGGACAGGCACTGAGAAAGCAGCAGAACTCTTCTGGAGGGAATCTTGACATCTCATAACCTGCTGCTGTTTGACATCAGAGCAAGAAATTGCAATTCCTGAATGCAGCATAGAACAAAATTCCCCACATTCTCTTTGGGGATGTCAAAGCGGTCTCCTGTGACACTGGCAGGATGGCTTAATCTGAAAAGCAACATCACGCACTGTGTCTGACATTGTCTGTATCACAGGCGCTGTATCTTATTGCTATTTAACACATGATGGAACTAAAACTATGAATCACAACAAGAATGCCAAAATCCAGTATTGGGACTTCTTCCCCTTGACAGTGCTCTTGCAGTTGGAGTGTTCCTGCCTGGGCTTTTTCAAACTGTAATTTCTGGTCTGAAAGAAGAGTAAAACCTTGCAGGCAGATCTGGTGCAGGAGGAGCGGCTGACACTGCCTGCATCCTCACGGTCCTGAACCCTCGAAGGGGCATGCCACCTGCCTCTACGCCTGCCTGCCCACCGTGAGCAGGCTTGGGCATTGCACTATGTCTCTGGTATGGAGAGAGACTTTCCCCTCTCCCATCTCTGCAAAGTCAGCGTGAACTGTGCTGTTTGTCTCAGGCTAGGTGTGCTTGCTGGGCTTGCATTGTTTTATCTAATCTGTGCCTAGGAGTTTCCTGAGTATTTTCTGGGTGTGATTGTATTGAACAGGAGCTCTCCTTGTTCCCAGGAAGACAGAAGACCAAACTCTCATAGAGTGCAGCTTGACAAGCATGTTAAGGGGTCTGTGCCACTTTACCCCAGCTGAAAGTACCCCCAAGCTCTGGGAGGGAAGATCATCATGGACAAAGCCCTGAATCTCACCTGTTATCATCCACCAGTTACCTGACCTAGTCAAACAGCTCCCTTGTGGTCCTACAACGTCCTGCGATGGGCAATGCCTCACAAGGACTACACCCCTTGCTATTTCTGAGGCGCAGGGCTTACAAGGGTTGAGCGTAACCCATGCAGGCTTCACAGGGACATTGCAGAAAGACAGGTGCAGCCCTAGGAGGTCTCTCCACCTCTGACCTCTGAAAGAGACACCCACCTTCTCCGTATCCTCCTTCTTGACAGACTTCAGGTTGGCTCTCAGATCCATGGAAACCTTGTGCTTGGAGCCCAGCAGAGCCCTCAGCATAGCATCAGCAGAGACCCGGACTCGCCGCAGGGGGGGTCGCTTGAACTTTCCCCGGAGGTCAAGCACTTTCAGTTTCAGGTCTTTAATCTGCAAGTTGAGGAAACAAGATGGAAGGGGAAGTCATTGTATGACTGCATTGCACAAAATGCCCCTATGTGAGGCAGGAGTCTCTGTCTGCTCCTAGCCTCAGAGGGGTCCCAGCCCCTCCCACAGTGAGTAGGACCACCTCCAACTAAGGGGTTGTGCACCTGAGCCCAGGCCTGCAGTGATGGCCTTGTCCCAGCCCACTTGGATTGTAGCCATGCTACATAAAAGACCTCTCAGCCCCTCAGGGGATGACCAGGAGAGCAAGGAGGTTGCTTGTGGACCCAGGTGACACTGAACTCTCTGAGGCAGGGATGAATCCTGTGCTGAGCGATTGTCTGCTCTTGTAGAGCAAATACCAACCCTGAGTTAAGCCTGGTACACGTCCCACATCCAAGCTCAGTCCAATCTATGAAAGACTCCTGTCAAGGCCCAAGTCACCACTGAGGAGGGAATTAACATAGACACAAATAGCCCCTCCTGCTCCTACCTCCCGGGTGTTATGGTTGCATTTTGCTTCGATGTCATATCGCTCTTCATCCACAATTTCAGCTTTCGCATGCAGCTCCCTGCACAGGTCCTGGGGGGTCAAGCACAGCAGGAGAGCAGTAAGTGATGGTCCTTGCTGCTTCCAAGGAGTTCACTTCATCCTCTGATCAGAGAAATACCTGGAGCTGGCTCAAGGAAAGCCCACTGGTATACAATGGTGTGATTCGCTCAGACAGATATCTTTCCTTCTCTGACTGTTTGTCAATGAGCTCCTGTTCCCATTCCTCCTTCGCTTTTGCCAGCATCAAGCTCTAGGGAACAAGCAAAAAGTAGAGGCTTGACTAGACAGGGTCTTCAGTTAGCTGCTGAGCCTCCCCACGCAAGGTCTGTAGGATGGGAGAGAGTCCCAACTCCTTCCAAACCCCCCCTTGCTGTGGTAATCCTCCAAAAATCACTGCAATGCTGCAACACACATCAAAAAATCCCTACACCCTTTATGTGGTGACACTGAAGGCAGGTGAAACAGGACGAGAGATATCACTGTGGTGGTGGTGTTCCTGATGGATGCTGACGTGAACACTTTCTTTGCATTGGTTTGCTCTGGTGTTGCATTAAATGATTTCCCTCAGCCACAACAAATCTTAGGGAGTTTCCAGCCCTTAGGACTCACCTTCAACAACAGTTTGCGTGAGGCTGTGATCTTGGGCTTTCTCTAGGGAAAAGGGGACAAAAAGAATCTTTGAAAATAAACTCGCAGCAAATGCAGAGAAATATCTAGATCACTCAGGAAAGGCAAGGCACTTACCTCCCTGCAGGGAGGCATTCATTCAGGAACGAGCAAAAAGGAAGACAAAAACAGAATAGGGCATAAGCGGATAGAAATCAAGAGAGTAAATGTCAAGAAAAGTATTTTATATTATTACAATTGGTTTCCCTATTTCACTATACAATAGTTGCAACCTGTAAGTGAGCCAGGTCTGCTGCCAGGCTGAGATGAAGGTGCTCTCCTGAAAAGCAGCAGAAGTTGAGCGCTGCATTTTAGAAAGTCAAAATGACACTCAAACACTGCACACAAGCTGTCTTTATGCCCTCTTGCAGGGCTTGGACATCTCCATGCCATTGCTTGATGAAAGCTTTGCAGGGTGTTTTTTTCCTGCTGTTCACAGCTGGGAATATGCTATATTACACAACATACTATAAAGAAGAGCCTCACAGCAAAAAGAGTGACATTGCCCACTTGGGGATGGCTATATCAGGGTCTCTGATCTAGGCAAGCTCCAAGGTTTGAACCAGGACATTCAAATGACTAACAGTTTTTATTTGAAGAAAGACATTTTTTACAAAGGGAACATCACAGGGGTCTGGAGCATGGACCATTCTTCAAGCCGGACCCCCTAAAGAAGGACCAAACTCTGTCGGCACAAGCAGCCCTGTGGCTAAGGGAGGAATTCAGCCAAAGCCAAGGGGAACACATGCTACTTACGGCTCTGGCATGGTGATGTCACGCTGTTTACCTGCAAGGAAGGGAAAGAAGCTGAAATGAAGATACAAATCCCAAAGCAGTCCAAGCCCAAAAACTGGGCTGGGTGCCACAGGGGGCATGGGGAGCACAGGGGTAGCAGGCAGCTAGTGTGGGAGTGAATTGGGCAGAATGGCTGTGTGATGGGGCAACGCAGAGGCTGCAGAGTGGGAGCAAGAAGCATCACTTTCCCCAAGATGGCACTGCACCTCTGCCAAGTTGTCTGGCCATCTCAGCACCCTCCTCAGCTGGGAACTGGCCTAAATGCACTATTTGGATAATGAATCCCCTCTTGCAGCTAGGCAAGATATTGCCTGAGACAGAAGAGAAAGAAGCATTCAGAAAGGCAGGACCTGGAGAAGGGGCTGCCTTTCTTGCCTGCTGTTCCTGCCGCTTCTCTGTCCACAGATGATGGGCCATAGCACGCTCAGCAGTGACTACAGAGCACTTCCGAGGTGTAGTGCTGCCCCGTGCTGTTGGTGGAGGGAAGCAACTCTGCAGTCGGCTTTACCATCTGGTTGTGGAACACAAGGACAAACCATACAGCTCCAAGGAAATCATATTTCGAACAAGCTCCAGCCTGCTTCCAGCCAGCCCTGTGGCACTCAATCAGGAGGAAACCACTCCCCTGCTCCTCAGGGTTTTTCCCAAATTTCTGAGCTGTTCTGCCACCACTGCTGGCTACATCACCCACTCCAGCTGCAGGCAAACGGCTGGAGGCGAGAGAGGCTAGAAAGCTAATGAGAAACACGGCACCTCGAGGCTCCCCACACTGCATCAGCTGGAGGAGCTGGGCTGGTTTAGTCTGTCCGAGAGGAGGCCAAAGGGGATGCAATAACATCCTGTAGCTCCTCATGTGCAATTGCAAACATGTTGAAGGCAAACACTTCTCAAGCGTGGCAGACAATAAACCAAGGGGCAACGGTCACAAATTGCAGCAAATTGGCACAGCATATTCCTTTAGGGTTTGTGTCCCTGGTGAAATCCTGGTGATTTCATATTTTACATTCACTTGGTAATCCTATTCCCTGGCAGCTGCTTTAAAACGTACTGCCTCTGCTAACTTCCTCCTGAGCTGCTTCTAACACTTCCCATTCTTGCCAAGAAGTCAGGGCACCACATAAATCTGAACCATAGAAAAATTCATGGGAAAATGCCAATCAGTTTACTTTTTTCCTCTTTCCAATCAGGAATAAAAAATATTTCCAAAACAAATAGCATTTTTTTTCAGGGTTGAATCTAATCCTTTTCCTCTGAATTGAAAGGGCCAAGCTGACCAAGATTTTTGTTTCGACCTCTTTTGTCCCCATGAATTTGAAAATTATTTTAAACCCCAAAGATTTCTGCTGAAAAAAGGGAAAAATTCTAGTATCAAATGGTTCTCTTCTCAAGCTTGCATGGAGCCTACACTGAACAAGTCCCAGTGACATAAGTTCACCTCCCAGTCTGCTGCTCTATCTTCTTGTCCCTGTCCCTTCCTCAGCTCCCTTGCCATAATTGTATCATAAAGGAGTGTAGGTAGTTTGGAGAAAAATGCTATTTTGGGAAATAGCCCAGGAAAAGCCATCTTTCCTGGAGCCTGCCAGGTCCCTGTGCTCAGCACTGAATAACTCCAAGAAGTGTGTTTTTATCAAAAAGCTTGTCAATCAGATATAACCAGAGCTGCCAATTCCATGCCTTTTTAGAGATTTTTTGGTAATACAGCATTCCGCTCAGACATGCAGGCAAGCCAGCTCCTCTTGGCGGTTGCCAGCATATTGAGGGCATTCGGTCCCGGCTGCCTTCTCCTGATTTATTCCAGGCAAAGCAGAAAAGCATTTGGCTCTCACAGGAGAGCAAGGGTTGGGCAAAGCTTCTCAGCACCTCCCTCTGCCATATGGGGGAAATGCCAAGGGTCCCTAGAAGAGGGACCCATACTGGACCTTGGGACAGCCAATGCCAATGTCAATCAACTTTTAGGGCCAGATTTTTCTAAATCGGTCTCCCAGAGGGCAGCTGGGGCTCAGCTTTGCTGGTAAGACAAGTTGTACAATCTTGCATCCTTGCAGGGTTTTACTCAGGGACTTCGGGGCTCAAGCTAGGTCTGGAGCACCTGAGAGGGACTTCAACTCTCTGATGGGGACAGGAGAATTTGGACATATTTATTCTGAATTATGCTTGCATGCCCCCAGCCGTGAAAAACTTACAAAGCTTCAGAAACTATCAAATCAGAGAAATCTTTAAAAGAACTAATCTCTAATGCAGTCAGTCCTGACAGTCGCCCCAATCCCAGGTGGCTGAGGATATACCACGGACATGCAAACACGATGCCACACACATTGTTCACACCACGATGCCCCGTATCGCATATCCCTCGTCCTGCTCTCAGGGGAAAAGCACAAGCGTGATAGTGAGGAGCCAGATACCAGCCAAGACACAAGGGCAATTGCTCCCTAAGATAGTCCTATTTACCGTTTTTTAGGAGCTGCCTGGAAAATCAACCAAATCCCAGCTCCAATGCCACAGTAGTATTTTAGAAAGTATTTCCCTTCGTTGCAGTCTCATCAATCCTTTCTTTGAGAGTGAAGAAAATGGTGACAGCCAGCAAATTTCAGAGGGGATCCTATGCCAGGCCTAACAGCTAGGTCTCTATCTTACTCTGAGGAAGGGGAAGAAATTCAGGAAAAAAGATCATAAGCCAGGGGTATCTCTCTGCAATGCCTCGACATGCAAATACCGTTGGTCTCTCACTAGTGTCTGTGTCACCTGCTCTGCAAAAGCACCCTCAGGGCTAACCTAACACCCCTTAACAGACCCAGGAGTCACACACGGGAGGGACACTCTGGGCCTGGGGCAGTTTCTTACCTCTGGGCTGGGCGGGAGGGTAGGTGATGCCTGACGTCCGGAGAGCCGCACACTGTCGGGGCTTGGCGAAGGAGGGAGAGTATTAAATCGCAGCCTGTCTGCAAGTGGTCAGTAAAAATAGCCCAGGCACATACCCCCTACTCTGCATACATGCTTGCTGTAAGCACAAGCACCCCTCGACACTTTGCATACACCTGGGGCACTATCTCAAACACGGCACGACAAGTGCATGTTGCAGACGTGTATTACGCACCCACGTGCAACGTTAGCTCTGGGCACATCCAAAAGAGCCTTCTTGTGTTTTGGTGAATTCTTGTGCTGTGTGCGTATGAACTACCCGAACTTTGCTGGCATTTGCTGCTTGACACACTGCTCACATACATGTTGCATGTGCGTGCACACTGGCATCAGGCTGACCATGGTGCCAGCCAGTCAGTAAGGCAATGTCCGTGCAGGATAGGTGGATTCTTCCCAGTGCATCTGCTGTGCTCTTATCCCATGCAAGCATGCATATGTTGATACCGAAAAGACCCTGAGCCTGCAAGGAGGCAGAAGTCATGAGCTAAAGCACTGCAATGATATTTTTTTTTTTTCCGGAAAATATCCCAAGGGCGACGGGGGGAGGTATCCAAGGTTGCTTGACATCTGACACAGTGATGACACCCATGCATAATGATGCACATGTTGTATCAGAGACAATACATGAATAGACTGATGTCCCCCACAGGACTGCTGGCCAAAAGGCCTCACTGGTGCTGGAAAAGCAGAGTGGGGGGAAGCAGATGGAGCCAAGATACAGGGGGAGTTGAATTCTGGCTGGAGGGTTTGTCAGGACTGAGGATGAGGCAGTCCCCTCTTTGGGGAGCAAGACCGGCCGGACTGGCACAGCCCAGCATCATGGGCTGAGACAAGGCACAGCTCAGGCAATTCCCTGCTATCTTTCAGCAACGCAGGCCCTGATACTTTCCCACAAAATCCCTGAAAAGCAGACAAAATGCTACTGTCTCACCACTTTGCCCTCTGTAAAGCCCCTTGCCCCCATGTCCACCACAGAGGGAGGCTTTGAGCAGGGGAGGACCGCTGGGGCGGGGGGGGACAGGCAGCACCTGTTCCCTGGGATATTTTTAGGGGCAAGTTTAGGCACAAACAATTCCCAGCCCTGCAGGAACAATGCCTGGTATTTTAATTCCTGAGACTATTATGGTCATGGAGGGACCCGCAGTCACAAGCCCCATTGTGGGGAGCAAAGACGGCCCCTGTGTCCTGCAGAGCGCCGGATGCATGTCTGACTTCCCACCTCCTGGTCCAAGCACCCGCTCTCCTTGCTTCTTGGGCCACCCAGT